TGCCCCGTTTTTTTTTTTTTTTTTCTTGCTGATTTGTGCCGCTTGTTCTAGAAATTACATATTTTGCAGTCGCAGCACACATTATTTTATATTTTATAACAGCATGTCTTTGATTGCACGTTTTGTTTCCCACAACTCACTTTCTGTCCATTAGGATCCTTTAAATTCAGGTGATGATGTGATTGAGCAGGACATCCCGGATCTCTTTGACACCGACAATGTAATTGTTTGCCAGTATGACAAAGTAAGAACATTTTGGCTCTCTACTGGCCATTATTTGCCTCTTAACAGAGCCCAGTGCAGAACACGTCTGTTAATCTAACATTTTCTGGCTATTGCAGATTCACCGCAGCAAGAATCGCTGGAAGTTTCATTTGAAAGATGGTGTGATGTGTTACGGAGGCAGGGACTATGTGTTCTCTAAAGCTGTTGGGGAGGCAGAGTGGTAATAAGCTTAAGTTCTCTTGCACGCATCACATAATTATGTTGAAAGAGGGGTAACTGATTTAAAAGGGGAACAACAATCAGTGAATTTAGACCTCTTGGTGGTGTAATTTGGCTCACGTGGCAGACAGTTAAAATCCCACTGTGCAAAACTGATACTTTTGTTTTTTTTCAGTATGTAATTATCAGAGCAGCACTGCAAGTCATTTACGATGTTACAAACAATTACTTAGAGCATTGCTTTTGAATCCAATCTACTGAGACAAACAGCATGAATTTATGTTGTATAATATTTTGCTGAAATAGTTTATTAGTGGAGCAAAACATTATTTGCCCTGGAATGTGTTTTCTTCTGTCATGATCATGTTGCTTTGAAGTTACCTAATGTGCTGTTTGATTTTCAAACATTGTAACTGTAATATTTTGCCTTTAATCATGCTTCAAATACACTGAACTGCACTGTTGTGCTGCATTCAATTAACATTCCTCTGTCTGTGCAACCATGTTCAAAGCCAGTGTTGCCTTGTCATATTTTTTTAGAATGAACTAAGAGGGTTATTTTTTTTTCTGTGTTCACTGGAAAATCAAACCAGTCGCAGTGGCTCACTATATACAAATTCACTAGAACATGACAAATTTAATCTATAAATGCCAGCATGGACACTAAAATTGATTATGTTTTGACTGTGGTTTGGATAGACACTAAAGTAGCTACTCGCAGCTGGAAAAAAATATAAAGGCTGGTGTGACAGCTCCAGCAACACCCCACGAAACAAAAACTAATCAGTGACAAATCCTTGGGAAATGTTTTTGCTACTGATGTCAAGTTTTCATTCTCACATTCGCTGTGTTGTCACAGTGATATTCTTTGGTGCAGACCTTTTCTCTTTTCCTTCTTTATATGAAATTATTAGAATTTTATGATACAAAGCTATTTCTTTTTTTCTTGTATTGCATTCATAGAGTGTACTGTGCACATTAGCACATAGTATACTTGTTAGCAGTGGGGGTTACAAGTTCAATCTGAGGGGATGGAAGATTATTAACAGGATAATTTTTACTGCACAAAACTGTTTTCTTGCCGATTACTAGATATTTTAGAAAATGATTCAATCAACACAAGGTAAAATAATGGCTGAACTCGTTAAAACTGGTAGACATTTGCAACCCATTATGAGGGGTGTCACAAAAAGACATTGTTTGCTTTCAGGGGTCACAAACCAATGCTGGTTGGGAAGCACTGCTTAATAGTTTTGGTCAGTATGCAGCTGGGATAAGGGGCAGATCTCCTATATAAAGGGAAGATTTGAGGCATCACTTAAAGTGATCCTGTTTACAGGTTATGTAGATCTGATGCCACAGTTGTGTGTTGGCCACATAGATCCTAGAGCACACTGAAATGATGTAAATATGTGTGTGTTCAGTTCATTTATCATATGTACAGTTTCAGAAAGAGATTAATAGTCAACCATACATATACAAGCTCATCTCTGGAAAACTGGTTTATTTAGGCCAAGTCAGCAGTGCATTAGTTTCGAAGATGGTGCTGAGTAGTGGTTTTACTCACAGCAGTCTAGGTGAAAACGCTTACTATGTTCTAGTAAGTAAGTAAATACAGGTTTTGTATGGGAATCTACTTTCTGGTATGTTAGCTTGCATCGATAGCTGTTGCTAAATGAGGAAGCCAATTAAAAATAATGGTTAGCATAACAAATTGACCACACTTTTTTTTTTTTTCTCCCTTTTATTCAAATGTCATCTTGTGAAAATCCAGGACATTCTAAAAAGCAGAAGTATTTCTTGTAGACCAGGCCCCATCTGTGTCTCTGAGGTTGCTCTGGTATATCTGCAGTCTTCCAAGTCTCCCAGTCCAAATGTATCCTGAGTGCAACCCAATACATGGCACTAAAATACATCTTAAGCTTAAACAAAGACTTCCATTTGATCACGTTTATCTCATTATATTCAAACTCAAAATCTCAACCTTTATAAGGACAGAATAATAAATAATTTCTACTTATTGATACTACTTAAATAAAAATAAATGTCTCTTCTAGTACCCACATCTTATACAAATGCTGTTTTATGCATCTTGATCTTAACAAGTGAACACCAATGCTTTAAAATAGCTTTGTAAATAAACTGGCCTGCTCCATCCATCTGCTGCTTTGAACTGCATTACCTGTGCAGAAATGCAGGCTGCAGCACCTGTTGTCTTCAATTTGAGGTCTCTTGGTCCTGACATGAAATTCTGGTTTTGTAAAGTAACCTAGATCAAATTTGATCTGATGCCTGTCATGAACGAGATTGACAATCTCTTCACCCTGACCTACATTTTTAAAGAAATGCTACATTTTTATCAAGACAGCAGACACTGCCTTTAAGTTCAGAATAAAATTCTCTGTGCTGATGGTCATGTGGTTCCCTTGTTTAGAAAGCAACCTTTCATCTTAATGTGATAGGCATAGAAGTTAAGTGAGTGAGGCTTTCTGGTGGACATTTTCTGAGTAGAATTGAGGTGTGAAGCCAGAGTCTGTGACCTGTAGAAGTCAGTGTTTGCCTGGCAGCAGCCACACCCGCAGCGCCTCAGTAGCAGGCACACGTCCTTCCTGAAAGCCCGTGTGAAGAGGGTGTACAAGAAAGGGTTGCAGAGGGAGTTGATGGGATAAAAAAGGATGAGCAGGATTTTTGAGTGAGACACAGTAATGAGGGGCATACACAGGGCTGCAGAGATGGCAAAGAAGGAGATTGGCGCCATGCACACAAAGTCTGTAAAAATGAGCACAGCCATGCGCTTGGCAATCTTGGTGTCTCCATGGCGGGTAGAGTGCTCTGTGTTGTGAACACTCCGATATATGCATATGTAACAGTAGCAGACCAACAGGAAAGCGACGACATTGAGAATGAGTACAGCCACCACGTAAACCTGAGAGCCCAGTGTGTCGATGTCCATGGGCAAACAGATGCTCACTTTGCTGTAACTACTGACCCCCACAAGAGGGAGCAGGGCAACCAGCAGAGAGAAGCCCCAGCCTGCCCCCATAATGGCTGCTACATGGTGCATCCGCAGCCTCTTGTTGACATGCATGGCATTGATGATGGTGTGCCAGCGTTCAAGGCTAATCACAGTCAGTGTATATACTGACAGCTCACTGGCAAACACTGTCAAAAACCCTGCTATGCCACATCCGGGTCCCGTCTGCCAGTCCGTGGCGTGGTTGTAGTACTCATGACGGGAGTTGTGGTCCATGAAGGCAATGAGCATCAGGTAGAGCCCCATGCACAGGTCAGCGAAGGCCAGGTTACACATGAGAAATTTGGAGATTGTTAGCTTATGGTGGCTAATTAGCAGGATGACCAGAACAGCCAGGTTACCGGTCACAGCGAAGACTGTAATGATCCAGGTGAGACAGCGCAGGAAGGGAAAACCCAGCAGGTCCTCACAAGGGTTAAAAGCATCTGGCTTTGGCGTGCACTTGACGAAGGGGTTGTTAAGGCAATCAAATCCCAGGTCTGGATACTCAAAGTTGATGTCATCAATCAAGTTCACACCATCACCTGCGGGATCTCTGAAGAATAACAGATGTTAAAATTACCATAGAAATCTGAAACTGGTCAAAGAAAAAGCAGAAGGTTATGTATTTTTCTTTTTGCTTAAGCCGAGGGTACTCAAAATAGTTTTTTTGGGGGGGAAATAATTTGAGATGAAAAGTCTCAGAGAAAGACTGTGTTTTAAAAGATCAAATATTTACATCAAGAAGATTTTGTGTTTGCCAACAATCACATCTCTGTATAACAGGTTTGTTTTTCTCATCAAAAACATCTGTGGGCTAATGGGATCAATATCAGTTCTGAGAAACAGAAAAAAAGTTTGAAATGTTTGTTTTTAGGGATTTAATGTTCTGTCTCCAGTTTATTATTAAATATAATAAAGTTAAATGTGTCAAATTTTTTTAAATGTCATGTAAATTGACAGTGACAGGTCCTGGTTCATAAATAAAGAATGACTAGAAATACAGGACACATCATGTTGTTATTTTAGCCCACCGCAATCATTTTTGTACAGTCCCTGAGTGGGAAGTGAAGTAACTTACGTTTCAGTTTCGCTGAGATCGCATAACTTTGTGAAGTTCTTTAAGGCGCTTTCCCTTTTAAATTATAAAAAGAAAAGAGGGGAAAAGGTTAGACTGCACAAAATGTCAATAAATTCAGTCGCTAATTACAAAACAACTCATGATCTGTATTCATAGGACAGAGCTTTTGTTCTTTATGCAGATTTGAATGGATTTGTTACATCTCTGGCAGCAGTTGTCGGTTACCTTTGTTTTCGACGCCATGTGTGGAAGGCACAGCAGTGGCTGGGGTACGTGAGCTCAGCCTCCAGCAGCTCAGCCAGACTCTCCAGTGGAGGGAGGGTCTTCAGAGCAAAGGCAAAGCTGGCTTTCAGAAACCTCACCTGCCGCAGCCCTTTAGGGGGGAGGGAACTCAGAGCTGTGGAGGAAACATCCCTGAAACACACATGCAGGGAACACAGACATGTCAGTGAAGATTCCTGAAATGACTACCAATGTATAAAATACAGTGTTTTAATAAGGCGTTGAACCACAGCAAGCCACTAGAACAGGTTTCGGTCTATCTTAAATTTAGTTGGAGGGTTACAAAGTCAGTCTTTCTCACAAGAAGAGCCATCATTTGGTGTTTTGTTCATGGTGGCAAGAAATGCTGTTTAAGGCAAATCTGCTGAATCTCCCACAGGTGTTCATTCAGCCCCAGTGACTGCGGCAGCCAAGCCCCAATCTACAATGTTTTCATTTTCATCAAGCCAATGAGTAAATCACGCTGTTTTTCTAAAGAGATGTTGATTCACAACAAAAAATGTGTAATCACAGCATATACAGGTTGTAATTACTGACATTTTACTAAAGATGGAATACATTTCATCCAAAGCAGAAAAACATTTAGAATCTACTTTGGTCCCTCATTTGATTGGATCCCTTGCAACCTGACATTCATCAAATCTAAAAATACTCAAAAGTACCACACTGGACCCCACACAAGCAAAAGGAAGACCTCTGGCATTTCCTGTGTGTCAGTGAATACTGCAGACACTAATTCATAGCCAAGATAAGAGGAAATTTCATATCTACAACACAGGGTGCTTGCAATCAGAGACCTTGCAAGCTGTATGCACTGCAGACTGGGCTATTTACTCACTAATCAGTATTCAGCAGTCCTGCCTGCCTTGTTGGTTGTTTACACAGACAGGCTGTCACCGCCCTAATGTTTATACAATAAAATGATAAACGTTGTTATGAATATTAATCTTGCTTCACTGACCCAGTTCAAATATGGCCCCCTTAATGCTGTTGATTTAAACATCGGAAGATATAGAATGTATGATTTTTCTCCTCTCGTATTTAACTTTGTCACAATCATTAACTTGCTTGAGTAAATTTAGTCAAATACAATTTCTTGAGTACTTTTCTTGAGTATTTATTTAGTATTTATGTCTCAACTCAACTACAATAGTTGAACTACGCTTTAAAACTCGAGCTTAGGGGTCTAGGTTTGTTATGACGAGTAACCCCTTTCACATACTAGTAATCATGTGATCCACCATTAATATGAAAATATTGATTTTAGCACTTTTCAATAAAGGATCCTTGACCACTGATTGTTGAATTGACTTCCTGAAAAGTGGCACAACATTTACTTTGGTTGTATTAGTTTCATTAAATTTAATTACTGTCACTTACAGAAAACTCGGACCTGTGGCTCCTTCAAAGGCATTTTCTTGGATTTCACTGAGATGCCTGTTGTCTCTCAAAATCCTACAAAAGACATAAAAAAACAACTGTAACAGTGACCTCCAGTGCAAACTGTAGTTCAGCAGTTAACATGCAATATGAAAGCAAATTTAAGATGACACATGAATGGCGAACGATGCCCCAAACCATTTTTCATCTACTTTTTGTTTTCTCTACTTGACACTGAGGAAGATGAGCATTATTTTTAGACTTCAGGGTGTCTGTACATATCTCGTCCCCATCAACATTCAGCAGTGCAGGGCAGAGCAAGAAAACAATGGGGCATCCAATCTTTGTTTAGTCTTGCATAACGTTTGTTTACTGGTACACTCAGTTTTTATGATTGGGAAAATGAAACCCTTAAGTCTGAACAACATACAGTATCGGCCTGTCATGGACATTATGACATTATGTTGTTGTTAGCTTAGTATGGAAAAAAAAATCTTGATTATGAAAAAGCTTACAGTGTGTTGAGCTTGGTTCCATTGAATGCATGAGATTTGATTTCTTTGAAGCCGTTTCTAACCAGGTTCCTGTCAAGGACACAATGTTATAAATTTTAGTTTGCTGTCAAAAGGACCTATCACCAAGGACAGAGAACTGAACATCCGAATACATAAGCATATTGAGACACATCGAAACACATTCTTAAATGGTGAGACACTGTTCCTCCTAGCTCTGGTAATTCGGTAACAAAAAGAATTTGGCTCCTGTACTCACATGTCAACATACTCCTCTGTGATACCCTGGAAGGAATTGGCAGGAATGATGTCGATCCTCATGTTATCTGCCATTTCTCTGTACATAGTGGAGAAAACATTTACTCTGTTTGGCTAAATTATCAGTTAGACAAAATGATGTACATCGTACAATAAAGATCAGTTTAATGAACTGTGACCCAGTGGGAGGATTTGCGGCAGGGTCGGTGGCATCGTGACATTGATAGATAAAAGTACAACTGGGCTCAGAATAAACAACTTGAGCTCCACTTGGAGTTATACCATGTAGAACATGCAGTTTTGCAACATGCAGTAAGGCACTAATCCAGTTTAGAAACAGACTATTTTTAAATGCGATTACTTACAGGATAATATTTGGTGCCAAGGAAGAGATAGTTGTGAAGTCTGGGAAGTGTATCACCCCTGTGTTAGAGATGCTCCTGTGAAGACGAGCATCAAAGACAGATGATTATAAGCAGATAAGAACAAATCTTCAAAGTTCCCACAAAATGTCAGACAGGTGCAGACTGTCTCAGTTGGTAAGAGAAATTTCAGAAACCTTTTCTGGGAAAAGATTCCAGGTTAAATGTGGTTTATCGCATGGTGTCACATTTAACTTGAAGCAATGAATGATAAATAAGTAAAAATATCTTCAGATTGGTAACTTTTGCATGGAACACAAACAAGTTCTTGTTAACCACAAGACTAACGGTGGTTTGAAGGTGACAGCAGGAAGTAGCCACAATAAGATTACTGTACTATTTGCAAGAATAGGAATAGTCAAATTTCAAGCAGCAGAAGCTGAGATATCCCGACTTGTAGCCCCTATTACTATATATAACCTTCAAAACACTGGATACTGCAATTCTTATAATGCTCTCTCTCTGCCTGTTAAATGCTTTCATGTTTCAAACTCCACACCAGTCTGTATCGCAATTATTTGGTCAAATTATTTGGTCAAAAAATGCCTAAGATGAAATTGAGTGCTTCTTTAACCCGTTAACATCCAGTTTTCCCCTTTTTCCCCCCCTGTTGATACAGTATCTTATTCAACACTGTCCCACTTACAGCCATAAACCAAAGTATTGGCCAAATTAACATTTTGACCTGAAGGAGGCGCTGAATTTAAAGTTAAAGGATCACCAAGATTATTAAAGTTCATCCTGAGGGGAACATGAATGTGCCAAATTTATTTGCAGTCCATCCAACAGTTGTTGAAACGTTTCACTCAAAAAAACCAACTTAACACTAGAGTAAATAGTCATAGTCAGTCAAATAGTCATTAGAATTCATCCTCTGGGGACCATTAATGTAGACCAAATTTGGATCAAATCCAAAACTCAACCTGACTTATTTGGCCTTGTTGGAAACTTTAGGACGTCCACTAAATCTAAAATAAAGGCATGTGAGTTGGAACATGCTTGGCTGCAAAGCATGAGACTGTAACGACCACCTGCTGGTCAGTGGGGGTTTATACAGGTGAATATTGATCACGTAAAACAGAATGACTTACAGATATTCCAGCTTTGGCAGGTCAGTGAAGGCCCCTTTTTCAATAACCCTCAGACTGTTGATATTCTGCACCGAACTGCAGGAATAAAAAATGCGGAAAAGTATCAGTAATTACAATAATGCTGTCAGTGGCTGTCAACAAACAAACAAAGCAAAGCCCAATCACACATCAGAGGCTCTGAAAGTCAAGGATTAAACACGCTGCTTTGTAATTGAGAGGCTAATCCTATGAAACTTAAATGAAATGCAAAACACACAGCAGCTGTTCAAATGAATAATTGCTTTCATCGTGCAGTCTGAATTTGACGTGTGGTGGAAGGTAAAGTGTCACTTACATTTGAGCCAGGCTGTGGAGGGAAAGGAAGGCATGTCTCTGTATCTGTGTGATGCAGTCGCTCTGGGAAATCTCACTGTGGCACAAAGAAATGGCTCCACATCAGTCAACAGATTAACAAGAAGCCAAAATGTCGCACATCAAAGTAGCAAATATGGAGTTTTAGTGAAACAAATATTAAGAGTGACACAGGTTATGGATTCTTTCCCATGCTTACTTTTTAATGCACTTCTTTTAGAAATAGGACAGAGTTGATTGATATTGGTATACAATCCATGAGGGAAATATTAAAATACCACCAACAACAATTCATACTTCTAGGCCACAACGCACACATGCTTCACCTCATGTTTGGAAAAGCTCCAAACATACATCACAGATGCATCTGGGCCAAGAAGACTGAGTGAAGATGTTTAAAAAAGAGGACTAAACAAAGACCTTCAGAGGCAAACAAAGTCAACAAGACTTCTTGATTTGTCCTTGAACACTTTTGTTTTCTGATGGAGGCATGGCTCACTTCCCTTTCTGAGCCGCTTTCCATCTTTATTTTGCAATCATCATTTTAAGGATCCCACTCTACTGTAATCAGCCAACACTTTCCTTAGGTCAACGTCACTCTGCTTCAATTTCAAACAAAGAAACAATTTAATGGCTCCATCTGTGCAGATTTTTTTTGATTGCATTACATATAGTGTCATAATTACCGATCGCAGCTCGTAAAAAGCTTTTTCATGTGATCATTTTGATTAAGCTATGCTAGTTTCCATTTTGCGTCATCACTGACACACAGAGAGCTCCTCATGTCATTCTACCTTGACACAGATTTTATTGGCTAACTTGGCTGGAAAGATGAAGGATCACAGCTTTATGACTTTAACCTCATTTTGAATACTTGAATGAATTTTATCACTCAAAACTATTTTGCGATAGGGGCAAAATTGGACATAATGAACCCATCACCTATCACAAGTACTGTAAGTGTCTGAGATAAGACGTGTCCCTGAGGGGCAGAGAGAGCAAAGTCAGACACACTCAACACAAACCGGCTCGATTTGAAAATTATTTCATCACCACAGGCTAACAAATGTTATCTGCTCATCAAACTGTTAGTGATATATTAATTAAATGGTGAAACCAATTCGGTGAAACAATTCAGACTAATGTTATGGCTTTAGGACTGAGTATTTAGTGGCTGTAAACACGATAAAGATGAGCTCTAATTATGTTTTTACTTGGCAGTCTGTTTTTAGTGCAATATATCACTCAGTTGTAATTGCATTTTGCTGAAATTTGTTATCCAGATTGCCATTTAGACCAAGGAATAGTTGATTACATTTGGGCCGTGATATTTATGGTCTGGTATTTCTATCGTTAGACAATTTTTTACTCGTACATATTTCTGTGGTGTTGTCTTGTGCTATGAAAAGGTCCAACATCTGGGACTTTCAAGTCAAGTGGTTTATGAAAGGCTCAAACTTTGAAGCCTATGTGTGACCTTCACAGTTTCACAGCAGTGGGATATCTACATTTTTTACAACTTCCTTTCTTTTAAATAGATTATGTTTAACAAAGAATAACTTTCACCTTTGTGTTGATTTTTAATGGAATAACTACAATATAAAAGAATCACATCTACAGTGATTATTTTTTTTGTTCAGTTGTTCACATTATTTTTTAAATGGTGTGTGTGGATTTGTAGTCAAAGCACACACAGACTGGTTACAATTCGACCCCTCAAGTGTCACCCCAAATACTTATGAGGTCCAACACCTCACTGTCTCTCCACTGACTACCTCCATTGCAGCTGAGTGGCTCCTGCCAGCCGGAAATGGGATGAATATTAATCTAGAGTGGCTGTTCACACTGAGGTTACAGTCCAATAAATCTGATCCGACTTGGACCGCATATGAAATTTGCCCAAATCAGAATTGGAAAAGATCAAATTGCATGTGATTTGTGCTGTTCACACTGTCATGAACAAAAACATATGAGTCCCATATGAGCAGAAAGATCTGATTTGAGCCACCTGTCTGTTGCAGGGACGTGGAAGTGTCCCAAACCTGAGTGTGAACAGTTTATATCAAAATTCATGTGACTTTTACATCATTTAAGATCCAAGTTCATCATTCAGGACCGTGACTTGTTCACACTGGAATCTGTTATGAGCCCCATCTAAAAAAATATGTGAACCAAACAACATAAATAAAAAAAAAAATTAAATCTAAGCCATAAAATCTGAATTAAATGCTGAGGCTTGCAGTGTGGCCATAGCCTTAGATAAAAAGTGACTGAGTTTAAAATCATTCACTGAATATTTTCCTTAATCACAGCATAGGAAGTAAACACCAGAGGAAGACATCAAAGTGAAATGCAATTATGTGAGGAAATAATGAATAGTCATAAACAAATGCTCACCACTGTTGCTATTACTGTGCCTGGTCAAGACAGGAGCATCTGGTAAATATCTGATGTAATAGTTGAGTCTATATTAGTCAGAGTTCATGGGGTCGTAACAGTACATTTTTATTTCTGAGCCTGATTTCTGAAAATTATGTAGTTTTTTATTATCAAGGCTGGATGCATAAAACAGTAGTTTACATTAGTTTTGTTTTCTAATACGAAGTGGAGGTATACTGTAAATGCTCTGTACACACAGACCAACAGGTGGCGCTACATGGAGAGGATATTTTAACTGAAGGTTACTGGAGAGAAAATGTTTTTTCCTTTTCTTTTGTCCTTTACATTGCATTTCCTTGCAGTGGATTTGTTTGCAGCACCCAAAGAACACCATGTATTACTGATAATATTAGTGTAAATGTTTAGTTTAGTCAACTGTGTTTCAGTTTTCAAGTCACATTTCAAGACTGGCAACATACGTTCAAATGTGTTAAATTAGCTAAAATGCATAATTTAGTCTACTGATTATTTAAAAACTTTTTGAACAAGTTTAAATATTTAGCTTTCTCCTTTGCTTGCATGTTCCATTAAAGCTGAATTAATAAATTCACCTACGGTATATTTCTTCACTGAGCAAAAACATATAAGAAAAACAAGGAGCTCACATTATTGTAACGTTGATCAGCTCCTTGAAGGCATGAGTGGGGACTTCTTTCAAGGGCAGATGAGTGAGCCATCTGTAGGTTTCATAGATAATGTTGTTAACTCCACATTAAGTATGAGTAAAAGATAACAGAAACATGTCTCTTCAGGTTATTTTTTCAAAGTTGCATTAAAAGTTTAAACCACAAGACTTATATTAGAGTGACAGTAAGGAAAATACCCAATACAATACTAAAAGTAAGTTAGTGAAGCCAGACACAAGAAAAAAAAGTCCATAAAGTAAGTACCACCGGTTTCAGACTGGACTACTACCGACACTGTGCTAGAAAGTTGGGTTACTTACAGTCGAAGCACGGATGCTGCTGCTGCCCGGGAGGCCAGCTGAGTGTCTCTGCTGCACTGGAAAGTGTCGGCGGTGCAGCGGCAGATGGCCGGACAGGTATAAGCCCAGCAGGAGCGCACATTCAGGACACCGGACAGCGCGACCAGGAGCCAGACCGCCCGAGGAGCCATTCGTGACACCGGGGCCACTCACTACGGGATTAAAAATAAATAAATAAACAAAGACAAAACTCTGCTGACTCTCCTCAAAGTTGAAGATAAAAAAGAAAAATGTGCCAAATACCAGGCCAAAGCTCAATAACGTTACGCTCTTTCTTTTTTTTCCAGTTTTAGGATCTACTGCTGCCTTCAGGTTCTGTCGTAATTGTGATTATGCTGCCCGCACAGAAGACCCAACAAAGTGAAACACAGGCGGAATTTTCTTTGACAGCTGAGCTGCAGAGATGTGACGTTCAGTGGGTGGAGAC